TTGCGCGGCGGATGGTTGTGCCTGTATGGGGGGGCAGTCTTGCACTAGTTGTTGGGATTGGGACATCGGAGACATCGTAATTTGTCTGGAAACGAAGGGCCATGAGAGGGAGCGGGGAGCAAAGGAGGGTGGGGGGGCGGAGTCAGCTGTCGTTGGACAATTAGAGCCAGCCTGCTGAGCGTCGTAGGTGGTGGGTAGTGGGAAGAAACAAGAGCAAGCGCAACAGCCACACACGTGCCATCACACACCTATCCATGTCCCTCCATCTCCCCCAGCTCGCCTCCCAGCACCACAACAGCGCATACGCACGCGCAAAGTTCGGCCCAGCAGGCGCACCCGTCCAGTACCAGCCCCTCTCCCAGGCCCTCCCCCTCCACTTTGCCGACCTCCGCGCCCGCCAGCTCCAGGCAGCCCACCACCCGCCCTGGTTCCCCGCAGACCCGGCCCCCCGCCCCCGCAGCATCCAGGACGAGCTCCAGGCCGCCATCGCAGAGCCCCTCCCCGCCGCCCAGCCCCACCCGCCCTCCGTCAAGACATCCCTCACCCACCCAATCAAGTCCGTTCTCGCTCCTGTCTATTCTTCTTCGCGTCCTGACCCTCTCCAGCATATCCTTTATTATCCCTCCAGACCTCGTCGCCCTCATCTCATCCCATGCCCTCCTCGCGTCCAGCCCAGCAGCACCCACCCTCCTCGAGATACCCCACTGCTTCTCCCTCGACCGTCTCTCGATTCTCCGCGACGCCCGCCTCCAACAACAGCTTCCGCCGCCCCCTCCTGTCCCCCTCTTGGCAAAGCATCCCCACTTTCGCACACGCTCCAACATAGCTGATGCCCTTCACGCTGCCATCAGCACTGGCATCGTGTCCCAGGATCCTCAACCCGAACCCGCTTTCCTAGCCAGTCTCTCCTTGTCCTTATCCATGACCACCGTCCCGCTTCCGCTCTCTTTCCAGAAACCCCATGATTCAGATCTCTCGCTCTATTCCAGAAACAGTCCCTACGCTTCTTCATTTACAATCGGTAATCTCCTTCTGTCCTCCTGTCCCGGGAAAAAAGGTAAGTATCCCTTCGTAATCACTTTGTACTCAAATCTCACTTCTTGGCATACAGTTAGACTTGATGGTCCTGTTAAAGGCCGAAGTGGGGTCTGTCGCGACCTTCAAACTGACATGATGCGAATGAAACAGCTCGGCGTCTCCTGCATCGTCTGGTTTGTTCTTCTCCCCTCTCCCCTACCCAGTGCTCATCAGGCAATAGCTGTTTAGACGACTCCGAGCTCGACTTCCTCGGCGCGCCCTGGCCAGAGTATGAACGCTGCGCAAAAAATAATCGAATTGACGTCCTACGGTACTTGTCTTGCACCGCCATCATCCGTTCAATGCTCATTTCTCCGTAATCAGGTTGCCAACACCTGAAGGCTTGCCCCCCGTATCAACATCACATCTCGATGATTACCTAGTCGACCTCATCAACAGGTACACGCTGCGCGGCATTCCCATCCTTGTCCATTGTCGAGGCGGCGTTGGCCGTGCCGGCGTCATTGCGTGTTGCTGGATGATCCGACTGGGCCTTTGTGGGTGGGTCGAAGACACCCCCTTAACCAAGAACCCAGCCGACTTCGCTGATACTGCGAATCCGAACCCGAGTCCCGAGTCTGTTGCCTTTGTGGAAAGGGTGATCGGCCTCGTGCGTCGCCGCCGAAGCCTCAAGGCCGTCGAAACTTACGAACAGGTCAAATTTCTGGTTGACTATGTCGATCATTTACGACAGCGTTGGCAAGGTGCACCCGTTCAAGCTGTCCCCTCTTATTAAACATCACTATTCTTATTCTTTCCTTTATTCTGGGTTCTGCCTGGGTGCTGTATCTTTATTCTGTTCTTATTCTCTCCTCATTCACAGTGCTTTCTTTCCTTGGGTGGCTCATTTTTTGCATTCGCAACATCTGTATCATACTTAGGTTGTATCATACTACCCCTTCGCTAGGATTAATCATTCTGGAGGAAAAAATATACCCTCTGTTAAGCGTCAGGTTCTCGCAATCTGTCATGTAACACCCCATTCTGTACGAACGGCGCAGTCACAACGCTGATGGCAGCGCCACATTTCGGACCTCTCGCTTATGCTTGCTATATTCTGATCAGGAAAGATCATGTCCGTCGCAAAGTCAAGTCTCAAGGCGGCGCGAGAGGCCCTCACCAAGAAGGACTACGCGAGCGCGAAAAAACACGCCTCTCAGGTGTTGGATTTCGAGCCTGACAATTACAATGGGTGGGTTTACGCGATCTGCTGAAGCGCTGCTTCGAGTCTCACCTCCCCACTTGTAGCCATGTCTTCTTGGGCTTAGCCCTGTTGGAACTCGGAGAGAACGATGAAAGCGAGCAAGTAATCTCCTATCGCGCGTTTGTCGTCGTCTATTGTTGACGTCCTTTCTGTAGATATACCGGAAGGCGATCGAGTTGAACCCTACTCAACCTCTCGCATGGCAGGTGCGTGCTTTCGTTCTGTTCGAGCCATCCTTTATTCATGTTGTGTCTTTCGCTGGTGTAGGGTATCGCCAACTTCTACGAGAAAACGGCGAACTGGGAGAAGCAGGTTGACGCGTTGATCCAGTTGATGAATCTCTTCAACACGGCGTGCGTTCCCCACTGCCATTGCTTTCAACTTCTTTCTGAGGTCAAATGACAGTCAAGATGCGATCAAATGTGCTGAGACCCTGCAGAAGCTGATAGCTTTGTATCGGAAGCACGGAACACAGCAGCAGGTACTTATCACCATCCCCCAAGGAGAAGCGTTTAACGAAGCCAATTCCACAGTTGATCAGTGGCCTCTCGTACTATCTCCCCGAATCTAAACTGTATCCTCTGCTTTCGACCCTCCCTCTACCCGATCCTACGAACCCTACCGGCACAACGACTTTCGAAGCTCAGGACTCAGTTCATAATGGCTTCCGCGTGCTAGAGGAGATTGTATCCTTGACGGAGCGGTTGGAGGAAGACACTTTCAAGCGCGAGGTCGAGAGGCGGAGAACGCGTCTTGGAGCCTCGAGTCCTGAGCAGATACGGAAGGAGGTGTTCAGAGAGATATCGAGTAAATCCCAGGTTCGTCCTTTTATGTGAGACGTTCGTCGAGGGATATTGAAGTACAGGGTGTCCAGCTTCCGTCGCTATACAATGCCATCCTCAATCACCCGAACACATCCGACGAGCTGCGCGCAGAGATTGATGCTAAGCAGCTCCGGCACAAGCAACAATACCTTGCTTCAATACCGCTCACGAAAGAAACGGCGTCGCTGAAGCTCCAAACATTGAATGAGCTGAACGAGCTGGTGGAAGGCATCGTGCTGTTGCGTAAAGCGGATGAGTTGGGCTGGAAGTTGTTTTTTGAAGGGACGGATTGCGAGGATATGTGTGAGTCGCTGTCTTGACAGTATCAGGTTATTGTGTTGATCGTGGTCCTCGAGTGCAGCTGGATACGACCATGAACATGTCCGGCAGTATATCACACTGTTCCCAGAAACACCGTTGGCGTCTTTGTTCAAGGGGTATTTCACTTACTGGCAGGAGACACTGGCAGAAGATGAAGAGGACGGAGACCTGTATACCATACCTGATGAAGATCCGCTTGATACTGTCATGGTAAGCACATCACCGCATTTTTCCAATATTCGCGTCGCTGATATCACACAGAATGCATATACTTCTCTTTCTGACACTCTTATCGGCAATCGCTTCATGAGCAAAGTTTATCTCACTGAATTTGACTATGAGAATGCTATCAAGACTTCGAAGCGAGGTCTGCGCATTCTACAGCAATCGGAAGCAGAAACCGGGAAATCTCTTCCGAAGTACATTTGCATCGTGCTTTCTCTTGCTTTTGGTTGACTGTTATCGCAGAACACGGACGGGGTTTCAGGTGGTCCTCGCCACTTCATTCATACATTTCTTCTCGCCAAAACATCACCAGGAAGCCACTCGCATCATTGACGAAATTCTATCTCGTTCACCAGACAACACCGCAGCATTGATGGGTCAAGCGTTTATCTTACAAGCCGTACCAAAGTGGCAGGAAGCGTCGGAAGGATTCAACCGTGTAGCGACTCTGCTTCCCGATGATCTAGATGTCGGGCTTCGCGCGCAGGAAGAGGCCGCATGGTGTAAATGCCAGATCGGACTTGTGGAAGAGGGACTGGAGGGCTTACAACAAGTGTCCAACATGCTCGACGACATCGATGACGAAGGGAGAAACTCTGATCGTGCGCGCTGTATCTGGAGAATAGGGCAATGCAAGCTGAAAACTGAGGGTATGTGCAGCCCAAGTGTTCATAGTCAATACGCATTCTAACAGTTAGATATAATCAGAAGCGCCTTCCGCCTACAAATACTTCATCAACGCGCTTAGAAAACACCCCGAATTCGCTCCTGCCTTTACTTCCCTCGGAATTTATTATCTTGAACATGCCTCACCTCCAGATCCAATTCGCTCTTCCAAATGCTTCCAGAAAGCCTTTGAACTCGATGCCCGGGAAACGATAGCCGCAAGACGGTTGGCAGAAGGCTTTGCCAATGATCGAGAGTGGGATCTGGTTGAAGTCGTCGCGCAACGAACGATCGAAGGCGAAGGGGGCTTGAATGCAGGCTTGGAAAAGACAGAGCTCGATGCGGCGAGTAGATATCTACCCACGAACTCTTGGGCGTGGAAGGCCATTGGCATTGTCAAATTTGTGAGCGTGCTATTATTTCGGCACTTTCTCAAACTTATAAGATATAGCATTACAAAGACTATCCAGCTGCCATCCAGGCCATCCAGATCGCTCTGCGCGTCGAACCAGAGGATCAGTCTTTGTGGGTCCGATTAGGTGAAGCATATAATAAAGCTGGACGGCATACCGCTGCCTTAAAGGCACTTAACCATGCGCTGGAATTGGATCCAAATGACTGGCTGTGTTCCTATTTTATTGCAGATGTTAAACATTGTATGGGGCTCTTCGAAGAAGCCATCCAGATCCTGAATGCTCTCCGGGTTTCCCATCAAGACGAAGTTTGCACCTTGGTGTCACTATCCCAAGCTTACGTCGATCTCGGAGCGACAGAAGTTGTCGATGGCTTTCAGCAACGCGCTGAACAATCATTCCTGTCCGCCATCAACATCGCACTCGAAATCGTCCAGTGTATGTCAGGGTTCCGTACAATCGCGTGGAAGTTGATTGCAGACGCGGCCTTTCATTTATCCTCTTTTCCTGTGTTCACGAACGAAGCGAAGGTTCGGGCGACGTTGCAAGCCATTCCCTTCATGACTCCACCGGACTCTGTAATGCAACTGGTGAAAGAAATACCTTTGCCGCAATTCCAAAACGAAGGCCCGATCACCAGCATTGACGTTGTGGCAACAGCAATTCATTGCTGTCTTTCTCAAATCTCGTTATACCCTGTCGGTCGATCACCCAATTCTGGCGCTTGGTATGACCTTGCTGTTGCCGTGCGATCCTGGATGGCCAAAGTCCCTTCAGCCATGGATACTTCGCGAGGTCAAGAGCTTGCGGTCGGATATCTTAAGAAGGCGCTTACTGACGATCCTGGAAATGACGCATGTTGGGTTGCTTTGGGAAACGCTTACTTCCTGTCTCATCCGAAAGCTGCGCAACATGCATACATTATGGCGATAGAGATCGAATCGAAGAACGCGTCGACTTGGGCAAACCTTGGCCTCCTGTACTACTATCATGGCGACATCGAATTGGCGAATGAGGCGCTTTATCGGGGACAGGTGCTTGACCCTGATAACACTCTGGCATGGGTCGGCCAATTTTTGATTGCAGCAGCCAATGGTGACAAAGTGGATGCTGGGCTCCTGCTGGAACATGCTGTTGGTTTACCGAAACCAGTGGTCAGTATTTTTCGAATGTGTATAAAGTTGTATCTAACATCCTTCAGCCAGAAGCAGATTACGAGTACGCCTTTCAAAGCTTCAACTCGACCAGCAAACGTCAACGCTCTGGGAGATCCCTTGATTCCCTCTTACCCTCTTTCTTCTTGATTAACCGATATTGTCAACGCCGTCCGGACGATGCATCTGGCCTTCATCTCCTTTCTCTTGTATGCGAGCGATTAGGGCACCATTCTCTAGGCGAGAAGCTAGTTGAACGCGCCATCTCTATTCTGGAAACAGCGTACGAGGAGACAGAAGACCCTCTCACTGAGAAAAAATACACCATTGCTAATTCAACCCTAGGACGGCTGAAACTAGCTCAAGGAGACTTTGAAGGTTGTACTACATCGTTTGAGAGTGTGCTGGGTCTATTAGCAGAAAAGGACAACGACAAGGAGGTGACAACCTTGAAGGTACAAGCTCATCTCAGTCTCGGTTTGGCACATTTCTTCCAAAACGACCTGGAAGCAGCAGTCGGCCATCTCGAGGAAGGGCTTGTTAGTGCAGGAGAAGATCAAACTCTTCAAGGGCAGATTATTATTGTCCTTGCACAAACCCTCTGGGCTATCGGCACGGACGAGACGAAGGAGCTCGCTAAGTCGCGATTGTTGGAGTGGTATATGTTCCGTTTATCACGATTGGGTTCGGGATCTGATAATTGTACACAGCATCGCGTCTGATCCCGAAAATCTGACCGCAATTAACACCCTAGCGGGAATGGGGATCCTCACCCATGATGATAACTTGGTCGATGCTGCCCTCTCCGAAATCCTCGCGCTTCCCATTGAACGAAAGCACAAGCTGGACCCCCAGCGTCACGTGGATTATTTGCTCATTCAGCACCATCTCGCGCAGGTTAGTCCGAGCCTCCTCCTAAGAGGCTTCTCTTCATTTCAGGGCATCAATTTACTGACGATACCACCCTCATTTGCAATTCATAATTTCTTTTTTGGTCTGCAGGAGGACACGAAGCAGGCTATATCTGTCGCGCAGCACGCTGTACGCGCGGAGCCTGAGCGTTTGGACCAGCGGAATCGATTGGCGGCGCTGATCGTGCGAGAGGGGCAGAACAAGGACGGCCTTGCACTTTTGGCTGCCGCCGACGGGAAGACGTCTGCTGGGGACAACACCGGCGCAGAAGCCGAGGACGTCATTGCTACTCTAAGCATTCAAGCTGTGGCGCAGTGTTCTTTGGGGGACAACGGAGAGGACAACACTGGCGGCGATGAATCGTTGTGGGATGCATTGTCGAAAGCCCAACGTGCAATTATGATGCGGCCGTCCGATGCCAGAGGATGGCAGACACTGGCTTATGTCCGAGCGCGGATGGCATAGTACTATAGTAGCATCTAGATATGAAAAGCGGGGACAAACCAGACGAGTACGGGGGTGAGATGCTACGTATTTCGTAGGAATTAGTCTAAGTGTAACTGTACAGATATCGTGACGTTAATAGTAAGAGCATGGATATGGCTGAACTACCGTGAAGAGAGGACGAGGGCGAGACGGCGGGCAAGGGCTTCGTCACTGATCTCTACGCTCGAGTTCTTGACGGCATCTAGCCACCACGAAAGGCGGGCTTCCAGGTCGCTGTGTGTAATACCTCGTGATATGCTGGTTCAGGGGGAGACAAATGTCAGCGTCGGAGGACGGGATGGCCACAAAAGGAAATGACGCGTACATGCCGCGCTCTTGCAGAGCCTCAGTCAGCTGCCGATTTGACAGGCTGTGACTTGCATTGTCCTGCAACAAGAGCTGGTCGTCCCTCGTGACAAATTCCAGGTGGCGGCGAATACGTCGTATCCGTAGGGCATCGAAGCCGATGGTGGAAAGTCCAAGAAGGCTGCATGCCAGAAGCGTCAGTGACAGAACAAGGCGAAGAAAGAACAAGGGAACGCGCAAAAATGAAACATACCCGCAAATGGCTGTTGGGGCGCCGCTCGCATGAAGGGCGCGCAAAGGAATGAATCCAGCGGGTTGCTCTCTCCGTCGGAGCTCGGAAATGAGGCCATAGTATTGAGAGGAGAATGCTTGAGCTTTCTCGGCTCGTTTGGCTTCTATGCGTAAGCGTTGGGAAGGAAGGATGCACGTAGAAGGCAGCATGAAGGGAGCGTAGATGGCAATGAGGGGAATGACTTCCTCAAGGAGGAGTGCAATGACAAGGAAGGGGACGACTCTGGAGATGACATTAGATAGGACGAAGAAGGGAATGAGAGAATGACGTACTTGGCAATGTCATCCTTCTGGGTCTCAAAAAGACGGAATTCCGATCTTGTGAGAGGTGGACCGCCAGCTGCTATGCGGGCCTTGATTGCAGCAATTTCTCTCCGTCGGCTGAATATGAGTTTGACACCGCGGTAGTAGAATTTCTAGAATAGCAATGAGCGGCCCTTCGAGTTTATTTGCAACTATACGTACCAGAAGCTGGACGGCCTGGTGAATGGTGCGTTTGAACCAATTGGCGTCCTTAGGAGGTGGAGTGAGAATGCCGTGTGCTTCAGCGTCGTGAATGTCATGCTGGGCAGCCTGCTTCGCTGTTTCAAGCTTGGGGGCAGGCGGTAGCGGGACGACAAGTGGGCGATGGGCCTTCAGGAGGGAAGGTTGCGGGGCAGGCTTTGGTTTTATGGGCGCAGGATGGAGGTTGACCTTGGGCTTCTTCGGGGCAGGAGGTGTGGGTGTTGCTGCAGAGGGCAGGGGGATGCGGTTGTGGTCGGTGGAAGGGATTGTGTAGAGGCGCACTAGGGAGGGGTGCGGCCTGAACGCATGCCTGCCCACTGTGCGCAACATCGAATTGAGGGGACAACCCGTCCCGCCCATCAAAAATGCGCGTTTGTCACATTCGTCACGTCACTCTCCCATGCTCGACACGAACCTCATCGCTGCCACCGCCAACCGTCTTACGGAAGAGTCCTCAAAGGCTCTCTCGTTCGACGAAAACGCCTACACGCTATCTACAGAACCACCTCAAGAGCAGACATTCTTCACTCAACTCGCGGAAACAGCGCAGAATGCTGCATTTGCTCAATCTTGCTCCAGCATCCTTGTTGGGGCCGGGAACGAAAGCGACGAAACCGGTGATTTGCCATTCTGGTTAGGCAGCGGAAATTACGGACCCGGGAATTCAAAAACTGTGCTCTCTGTGCTTGGACTCGAACAATGGGCGGAGAATGTAAGCAACGTGGGCCAGATACGCAACTCTAAATCTGACTATTTCCAGATTACCGCTGCAGAGCCTCAGTTGACTCCAGAACTCAATGAATTGCTCCACAAAATGGAATATCGGTATTCGTTTAGAACGACATCCGGGTCGTCTGTGGCTGTCTTCGTCGTTGGAAAGTTAGGGGATGGGTGGGGAGGCTTGGTTGGGCTGGGAGTCTGGACATGAGCGATGATCTTATCAGATAAACGCCCTATGTGACAACTGTGACTTGGCAAGGACGTGCTCGTTGCTTTTGACCATGACGGAGGCATTGAAGGAACAGATTGGAAAGCTACAAGAACTGCAGGGTCGGATCCAGGGTTTACGAGCAGTACCGGCTCACGTCTTTCAAACATCGCGATTGGGAGGGACAGGGAAAGTGGCAGAGGAGCTTGAAGTGGTGAAGGGAATAGGAGAAGCAGGAGTGTCTGAGAGTGTGCAGGGGGCACTACAACGGGCACGCGAGAGTCTAGACAAGGATGGGAGCTCGCTCGGGACGGAGCATCGGCAAGAAAGGCGGAAACGGAGGTGAGTGGATAGATAAGGGGCGGAGTGGGTTGGACTGACGGAGTGGAATTAGAGGAGAACGGGCGGCGACGCCGGAGGGATATGTGAATGAGGACCGGAAGAGGACGTCATTTGTACGACCCGCGACGGAAGAGGGTGTCAAGATGGAGGGGCTGGGCGAGTGGGCACGTGAGTTCAACCGGACGCACGACAAGAGCAAGCTGCGGATCCGCGAACGGCTGCTGCGACTGACGGTGGAGGACGTGATGACGGTCTTCCTGGGCATTGGTGCTAGCGCGGACGGCCGTGTGCGAGTCGAGACGATCCGTGCATTTGGGGCGCGCGAAAAGGTATGTGGCATTGTGAAGTACAAGGATGTGATGAAGAGGGTCAATTCAGCCGCAAGCACACGGAGAGTCGGGATATTCAGTGTTCCAGCAGCTGACGCAGCAACTGGGGAAGGTGGTGGAGGTGGAGAGCGGTGCGACGCTGCAGACGATTGTCGAGCTTGTGGAGAGCTACGATGTTGTGTTTGTGGCGCGGTGTGTGCTGTGTGGGCGTGTTGTGTCGTCGGAGGGGCATGTGCCGTGCGTTGTGCGGCGGTGGAATGGGAGTGGCTGGGACGCTGAGCACATTGGGTGTGTGATCGAGGGGCCGATCTGAGCGCGTTATGCACGATCTTTTTGTTCCAATCTATTCAGCTGAACAACACCGGATGCCTATAAATAGCCCTGCCTGCTGATTAGCGCGCGCCCAAATCGCCCCGCTGTCCGCCCAGGTTCGCCCGAGCCCCAGTCCCCGATCGTCGACGCGCGGAAAAACCCCTTTTTGGACTTGCTCAATTCTCTTAATTAAACAGCTTTCCCATCCATCCCTCCACCATGGCCGACCACACCCCGCCAATCGTCTCTCCCTCTGGAATAATCCATGTCCTCGCCTACACCCCCACCGAGGGCGAGCGCGGCGTCCCCATCACCGTCCGCATCCACTTCCACCCAGACCTCGCAGACGCCATGTACGTCCGTCTCGTTATCGGCAACAAGGCCGTCCCAACAAAGGTCACACAACTCCCCTCCGTCACCTACGGTTGCTGGCAGCTTCATGCCGCCGCACCACCCCTCGACCCTCTCCACTTTTCATCCCCAAAGGTCCTCATTTCCGTCCAAGCTCTCAACGAGGACAACGCCATTCTCGACTCCGTCACTTTCGGCGAGTTCTCCTATTGGACTTCTGGTACTCAACTTCCCTCCTTTTCTTCTTGCTTTCTCCTCACACCCTTTCCCCCCTTCAGGCGCGACTCGTCGCCGCGCATCTGCCGCCTCGATTGATAAGCTTCCCAGGTTACAAATCCCAGACTCGACCACTCTTCGCCGTCGTTCTCAACATCTTCCTACCCCATCCCCAACTGGATCGGAGCGGTCTCCTTTCCCTATCAATTCTCCTCAGCAGACCACCCGCCTTCACCGTCGCATCAAGTCCCAATCTCTTGTGCGCACGAAAAACAACCCGAACGGTTCCATCGCTGAGCAAGACGACTTGTACGCCCAAACACCCGTCCTCGACCTCGTCACCCCTCTTTCGTCAATATGTACTGGCTGGTCACAGGCCGAAATCGCTGCAGGCCGTCGCCTCGTCCGCTTCTCCAAGGTCCAGGATGGCCGCAGGCTCATCGTCTCTTGCGACCCCATTCTCCAGGAAGACTACTGCGACTCTGACAGCGTCATCTCCTGCATCTACCGCGAGGAAACCGACACATGCTTCGTCACTTCCGTTGACGTCATCTACCTCCTCGAGCGTCTGACCAACGGCGAGTTTCCCGTCGAGGAGAAGAATCGAATCAGGCGCAACCTCGAAGGCCTCCGGCCCACCACGGTTTCCAAACACAAACCCGGTTTCGGCGAATTCTTCCAACGCATCATGGAGTTCCCTGACCCCAAACCCCGTAACATCGAAAAGGACCTCAAGGTCTTTGACTGGAATTTGCTCGGTCAGGCTTTGGAAAAGATCCTCGCAAAATACGTACGTTTCTTGACCCTCATTCCTTCCTTTTGCTCACGCTGGAAATATGTCAGTCGATCTACACGACCCCGGCCACGGATTCAGCCGAGTCATCGTCCATCGAGACCCCCGTCGACGCAGAAAGCCCAGAGCTATATGCGCTCCAGCTCTCATATCCTCCCCCAGAGGATCCCAGCGAGAGTCGATTCCTGGATCAGAAGATGTGCATCCCAAAGTTCGAGCCTCTCCCAGCCGAGATGCCTCTCAGCGCTGTGGCACCGATCACCATCCCCAAAAACCACGACGCGGATCACTTCCCATCTCCTGTCGAGAGTGTTGGGACCGCCTCATCGTCGTCATCCTCGGCGTTCCCACTGTTTGCTGGCCATTCGCCTTCAGATCCCATGGACTCTCGGCACTGGGCCCACGACGCAGACTTCAAGTCCGGAGACATGGCCCTCGAAAACTTCAACAACATTCTCTCCTCTTACGAGGTCTCAGAGCCTGTGAATGGCTCTCGCTACCAAGACGGTTCCGGATTAGATTTCAACATGTACGACAACTTTTCCTTCCACGGCATCCACGACGACGCCCTTGCCAGCCTCGCCGATCACTACATCTAAGCGTTTGTTCCTTTCCTTTGCTTTATCTATCACCTGTTGTAAATGTACCACCAAGTCTCCTCCCCCCGTGTTTGTTATATAGGTCGGAATCCATGCACACGTCTACTGTTCGTATATGTACATTATCGAGAAGCCATGGACTCCCCCTAGCTTTGCATTGTTTTCGGCTCTTTTCTATGTTTATTTCTTATCGTTATTGGGCTGTAAAGAGATCGAATATACGTAGCTGCCTTTGTAAACTATGTAGGGTGAATTCAGCACTCGTGCAAATTTATAGAAGAAAGATAGAATACAAGTAGAACGAAGAGAGATGATTTTCAAGCCGGGCTACAGAAGGAGGGTATCTATTATTCCAGGGGAAAAAAGCGAAAGCACTACATGTAAGATCCGAACGAGAAAGCGTCAAGCTACAAAATAAAACTAGATGAAGGATTCAAAAAGTCCGCCAATATTGTCATGAGTTGTTTCCACCTCTTCGACCAAAACTCAGACTTCCGAAGCGAGAGAAGCGCCCTTTGAGTGATCCAAATGACCCCACGCTACCCATGTAAGACGGGGCCACTGAAGCACCTGATATTTGTGCAGCTGGAGTCCCGTTCCCGACGTTGACGAACGAATTGTGTGGAGACTCCGTGGATAGGGAGTCGCTTCCGGCGATATCGCCTGGTGCAGATGACACCCCGTTGATTCCGTGTCTTGCCAGGTGGGCCAAATGCCGCTGGAGGGGTGTCTGCTTGGACGATGCTGGGGGATGATTGCCGGAGATGCTCGCTCCGGGGCTTACAGGAGACTCTAAGGGCGGGGTCATTGCTAGAGATCGCCCGACCTGGATCGGAGGAATGACGAAGCGAGCTGTCGATGACGAAGAGACGCTTGGCTTCACAGACTGCTCGTACGAGGATTTGGGGTAATGCGAGGAAGATGATGCCATGTTCTGTGATCGAGATGAGGTGGAGACAGTCAACGAGTCGGAGTCTACTACCAGCCGCCGGATTTCGTCACGGAAGTTTTTCCTGAAGAACTTTTCCAACGTCTCGTGGAACGGAATGAATTCAGGTGGACATAGAAGTCCATGCAATTTGAGACAACTGTCGATGATACGAACCTGCAATTTTCATCAATGCCTATTACATCGTTGGTAGCTCAAAAAGATCAACGTACCTGCTCGTCAATGGCAGCCCGAAGCTTCTCCACAAGTTCGGCTCTCTCTGGATGTCGTGCAACATAGTCTGGGCTGAAGAAGATCTGGCGATAAGAGCCAATTCCAGTATTGAGCGGCGCATCGACCGCGCTGTTCAAACTCATCGCTAGAGCATTAGTAGATACTTCCTGCGCGGTCTTGGCGAGCGCTTGGTACTTCAAATGAAGCCCACCCAGTTCTTTTGTCTTCTCTTCAATTTCCTGGAGAGCATTCTCAAGTGGAGAGATCTCGATAATTTCCACATTGACGACTTCGGATCGTCGAAGTACGGTCGGAAAGGCTTCCTCTGTTGTGTAGTAAGTCTTCTCGGTCCATGTTTCTTCTGTCCCATCGCGAGTGGTCTTCCGGATCTGCCGGGACGAGGAAAAGAGATTGATGGCACTGAGATATAGTAAACAGTTTAAGATGATGGAAGGCGTTGAAATATAAAAGGGCGCACCTGTGCTCGTAGTAAGTGCGAACTGCCAAAGGGACGTCAGGATTTTCGAAGACTGGAAGAGAGCGGTTGGGCTCCGGTGTGACGGCGGTGCATTGGATGTACTGGTCATTCCCAAAGCGGATATCGACAGGCGGATCACCAGTTGCTCGAAGCAGTTGGGCGCCTGGATGCTTGTTAAGCATGCGCTCGCAGAAGGCTCCGAATTTTTCCCATTCATAGCCACGGTACTTTCAGACCTTTAGAACAAAGCGCATACTCGAAAGAGGCAGGATAAGACTCACAATAAAGCGTTTGTCTCTTAAGGCTGCGGGGAAGTTGCCATAGAAGGTGACTCTGTAGTAATCTGGATAATATCGTTGGTCTGTCACAATATGCTCCAGCAAAGTGGCTTGATGACGAAGAATTTCTGAGAGACGGCCACTGATGTAGAAATTAGCAGTTACAGAGTTCGTAGGCACAGAGAACAACGCACTAGTTGAATGTGACTTCTGCGTGCTGATACGCCAACTCTTTACAGATTTCAATCGCATTTTCCCAAGCCTTGCCTTTTCCTATGGTAGCATGATATGGTAAACTATAACGTTGGTCGGTGAACGGGTGACACATACCAAGATAATCAAGAATTAAAAGGCATAGCGTCTCCTTTCGGTGGAAGTGGGACTGTTGGGGTAATCCAAGATCCTCCATTGGGCCGACAAACGAGTTGAGATCCCACTCATGTAGGTCGGAGTGAAGCTTGAGGGTCAACGCAGCTTCAACATAGTTTTGAGACTGAAGGTGCATCTACAGGAAACATTCGTCAGCATTTGGGGGAATATCAACTTATGAAAACTGAGTACATTCACGAGTTGATGTACATATTTGATGTATATTTCATCTCGACCAATGCGTCGGATGAAATTCATCAGTCTCAACTAAGGGAAAAAATTAGTCACAATCTACCAAAGGAATTGGGTATGCACTTACTGTTGCGATGACTCTATCGTCGGCGTATTCTTCGCCTTCCGGCAAAGCTCGCACACTCAACAACAGTTCGAGGAAGAGATCCACCGAATCCAAGAAATTGGACACCTGATCGCGTAATTGTTCGTCCACATCGGACGTATCAAAGAGATGTCGCAGCTGCCCGATGAAGAAGGCCCTCGAGATGTCATCCCCCTTGCTGTCCGACATGAAGAGGGAGTCAAGCCTCGTAACTAGCTCATTCTCAATCTCGTCGAAATGCTCGGACTGATGATACTCGGAGACTATCATGCTGTAAAGAATCTGAACAGCATTGTTTCGGAGCTGATCGTGGTGGCTTAAGCACAGATTCACGACGTGGCCGACGAGCGAATGGAGGTAAACCTGGTATCCCTGCAAGAATCTGTTGGACGGAAACAAAGAATCTACAGAGAAAGAACGTACTCCATATCGCAGGGCCGGCTCGCCGTTTGTAGACATATGCTCGGAAGAACCTAGAGCTTGCCATAGATTCAACAGGATCGTGGCCCCTTCACCTCGAATATCACCCGCGAGGCGCCAAACGGCACGGCGTTTCTGCGGAAAGAAACAACGGGTCAGAAGATGAAAGGCGAAAACTACAGATAGCCTACCTGCGGGCTGAATTCTTCAATCATGAGCTGTTCTGAAGAGAGCAGTTTGAGAAGCATTTGTAGGCACTCTCTCCAAATGCTCGAATCGAACTGAGACTCAGATTCTCGAGGAGGAATGAACTCCTTCTCCATGATTACCGAGATAGGCTCCATAATCTTGATTAGCACCTTGTGGGCAAGGATATTGACGTTCATCCAGGTTTTCGGGAAAGCATCATTCTCCAAAATAGACGTGGCAACTTTGAAGAATTGAGACAGTAGGCCGACGAACCGTTCGCGTCCTTCTATGTCGAGACTTGACTCTAAAAAGGTGGTGATGTACTTTGTCGGCGATGATAGGACGAGAACCAAGAAGACAACAGCGG